ATGTACATTTCTACTTTGGCCGAAACTCTGATAAAAGGTCCTCTCGGCAATGGCGTTCCACTCTAGAGGCAGCATGGGAAGGAGAAAGGAACGGAGTGGGTAGCATCTTTCCCTTCCTTCTGCCTGCCAAAACCTTGCTCTTTCTCTCTCTCCAGGAGGGAGGCACTGGAAGTGGCCAAGGGATGGGCAACGAGCGGGTGAAGAACCTCCAGAATGAAGTTGAAGGTGTCAAGAACATCATGACCCAGAATGTGGAGCGGATTCTGGCCAGGGGCGAGAACCTGGACCATCTGCGCAACAAGACGGAAGACCTGGAAGCAACGGTAGGCTTTCACACTCTGTGTTGTGGGATAGGAATAAGCATCATGCACCCAAGTTTCACTTCGAGGTCCAGGACAAGAGTGAGGGGGAACCCCTAAGCTTCTTCCCAAGTACAGGTCCAACTGCCAGGGCTGAGAAAAGGACTAAACCCATTTCCATAAAGAGCAAAATGTTGATTATATAACCTTGTCTCTTCTACTTCTTATACAACTGTTGACTCACCGAGTCTCCTGTATCAATGAGGAATGGCAGTGTTAAGGCAAGCCCAGACGAGGGAGGGAGGAAGTTGCTCAAACCGAGTTAAAGGCAAGCGGGCATTTTTAGGTTTTTCTGTGCTGTTTGGTCTGCATTGGCTCATCTTGCTTGAGGGGAGGAAAGCGGTCCAGGAGAAGCCATGCTGATAGGACCGAGGTGTCCGTGGCCAGACTGGAACTGGTAAAGGCCCGGGGATCTAGACAAGCCCTTTGGGGCTATTTAGTATTCTCTGAAATGGCTAGATGAGGTCTAAAGCAAAGCTGGTTGGGGAATTCTGGGAGTTGAAGTCCTCCAGGCTTAAAAGTTGCAAGACCCCTGGTCTAAAGTGCCTTTGGCATAAGCCATATGGGCTTTGTGATAAAAATTCGGCAAGGTAAGGTGGAATAGCCTATAGGGAGAAGGGTGGGTTCCCCCTGCAGCTCAGATGACCTCTCTGGAGAAGTGAGAATGAGTTAATGAGCTGAAGAGAAACCAAACACCTTCGTTCAATGTGCAGGTTTTCTGCTGTCTGTGAAGCAGATTGTCTTACGTGGAACTCATGTGGGTGTGACTGAGCCATAGCAGGAAAAAGATGGCTAGTTATGGGTTCATTTTGTGCCGGAACATTCCTGGAAAGGATACTCAACACACAGCCCCACCAAAGCATCCCTGAGAGAGAGGAGCCGCACTGGAACAGGAATAGGGATCCCTGCTAAAAGCTAATGGAAATTAAGGCCTGAACACGTGTAAAGTTTACATAAAGTTCAAAGAGGAGAACAAAGATATTGGAGGAGATTCTCAACCATTGAAAATGTTGAATTTTGAAAAAAAATGACTAAAGTTGAGGCAGCTTCTTCTGTCAGACAGAAGAAGGTCCACACCAGTTCTCTCTCCTTCCAGAGTTCAGGACATAAAAATGGAAGCAACTGCCAATAGATTTGTCAGAAAAAAATATTCTCACACGAGATATTTGGCAGTGGATCTAGAAAAATGGTGGGTTTTCTTTCATTGAAATTGTGGTGCACTACACAATGGATTGGAGCAGATCTTTTCAACAACACGATTCTAAGTATGTGCTCCAATATTCATCCATGACTTTTCGTAGAATCCTGGGGCTGGAAGGGGTCTTGGAGGTCTTCTACTCTCACTCTTTGCCCAAGACAGGTGTCTTAATTCTACCTCAGACAAATGGCTGTCCAATCTCTTCTTGAACACCTCCAGTGATGGGGCACCCCCACAACTTCTGGAGGCTTCCACTAGTTAATTGTTCTCACTGCCAGGAAATTTCTCCTCACTTCCAGGTTGGATCTCTCTTTTTTGTACTTTCATCCATGCTTCTTGTCCTGCCCCCAGGGGCTTTGGAGAATAGGTTGCCCCCCTCATCTTTCTGACTGCCCCTCAAATACCGGAAGACAACTATCATATCACTCCTAAGCCTTCTGTTTGTTAGGCTAAAGCTGGATGGACAAACTAGCTATGTTTGCACACTATATTTAAGCTTCGTTACTGAAACAATCCACTTTGTGGGTTCACATATTATATTGAAAAGGCCTTATCTGCACAGTGTACTAAGACTGACGTAATGCAAGATTAGCATCTTGCATAAATACAGGCAGTTTAATGGACGTGGTTGATTGCGTTGCAGACCCCGTCTTGCTCCTGTTTGCTAATAAAATTTTCTTTTTAAAATGGCAACTACTTCTTACAGTGGCCTGGTGAGCACGCAGAAGCCACCCTTGCGTGCTCACCAAGCATGTAAAGGAGCCGTTGCCATGCTGGGGTAAGAGTTGGTATTCTTTTCTCTCTTTTTTCTTCTCTGGACCTTTTAGTTTTATATTGTTTTAGTTTGTACTTTTTTACTCTGAGTTATAATTTTTAATAAAGTTGCTATTAAAAAAAGTTTTGGTCAGTCAGAGTAGGCACCTGCCAATATATTTGCAACTGAAGCCTCCCCCCCGCCCCCCCGTCTCCCCAGGTTCAGGGAAAGCAGCTTCTCTTCACTCTTTGTAAGTGATGATGTGCATCTTTTTCTACACAGTCAGAACACTTCAAGACAACCTCACAAAAAGTGGCCCGGAAGTACTGGTGGAAGAATATCAAGATGATTGCCATCATCTGCGTCATTGCCGTCATCATCCTTATTCTCATCATCCTGCTTGCCACCGGCGTCATTCCGTCTTAAGTTTCTTTCCCACCACTGGACTTTTCCCGCTCATCATTCCCACGTGTATTTTTTTTTTATTTTGCCCCCATGATCCCCTCCTTTAATAGCTGAAATTTGTAACTGAATCACAAGGCCCTTTGCCAGAGGTCCTGATCAAGAGGTCCAGGTTGCCCCTTGCAACATCTGCCCGTCCCCATAACCTCCCTCCCACGCCAGGACCAAGACTCCAGGAGTCGCCCTTTCTCTCGGGTCCACGCAATGGTCCCTCAACTGTAGGTGTGAAGGTAGCCAGAGGAAGCAGAGACTGTTTCTCCTCTTAGATGAGCCCCACCCCGCAGAACATGCTAAAATTCTGAGTCTGCAGGTGCCTCAGCTGATGCTTGGAACAGAGCTCACCAACCTTCTCTGTTCTAAACAAATTTGGCCAAATTTCTGGAACGGGCAGAAAGCTGCCCTGGGAGGAACCCAAATTTATGCGACCGCTTCTGGGTATTTCTTTCCTTCCAGGAAGCTTCATCCTCAGACCTCCTCGTTTTGTGTGCCTTTCATCATCCCGGATGGAGAAGTTGAATGACTGAAACTCACCTGGCAATATAAAGATGTTTTTGAAACACTGTTTTAAAAGAAAAATGAAGACGAGTGGAGAAGCCCGTTCAGGTTCTCTAAATTTTTATTTCTCTCTCTTGGGGGTGTTAGATTCCTCGAGATGTCAGTTCCTAAGTTCCTGACAGACTGAGGTCCCGACTCCTCCAATTGGGACCCCTGAGTGGCACAGAGAGAGGTGGCCCCTCTGATCGGCTCAACTCCCTTTGATTGGCACGTAGTCTTCTTTCAGCTACGGCCTTTTCTGATCTAGTGCCTCTGATCTTTGAGAAATTTCTAAGAGATGTTTATTCACTTTTGCATTTGATTTACTGTAATAAAAGTATTTATAAATCATTGTCTACTGCACAGATCTATTTAGAAGGAAGCTGCCTTGGTGACTCATTTCAAGGCATCTGGGTTCCCCTGCATTTCACACACACTGTCCTAAATGTTTGGCCACTGGCCACCTGTTACTGAAAGTATCTAAGAATACTTAGCATCTCTAGAAGGTGCCTGGGAATTTCCCACCTTAGTAATCCCCTTGCAAAGTAGGTTTGCAATTGTCTGATGGTAGTAGCGATTATAAACACCTTATAATTATAAACACCTCCAGCAGCCTGGGCAATGATACCTGCATCACAGACAGATTTCTGACAAGACTGGGAAGACATGCTTAATCCTTATCCAAGAATTATGACCATTGCTATATAGGTGTATCCCACAGACACCCCCACCCCCTCCCACAACCAGAGGAAATGGATTAGAGTCAATCTCCTCTTATTTTGACAGCCCCTCAAAGTACCGGAAGACAGTTATGTCTCCCTAATCCTTCTCTTCAGTTGGCTAAGCATAGCAGCTCCCTCAATTGTTCATCATATAATTTAACCTCCAGATCCTTTATTGTTGTTGTTGGCTCTTCTCTGCACACTTTCTAGGGTCTCAAAATGTTTATGTTGTGGTGACCAGAACTGGATGCAGTATTCCGAGTGTGGCCTCACCAATGTATAAAGGCACAGTTGTCAGAGTGCAATACTGCAGGCTACTTCTGCTGATCACTGGCTGCCAACAGTTTGGCAGATCAAATATCACAGGGCTCAAGGTTGACTCAGCCTTCCCTCCTTCCGAGGTGGGTCAAATGAGGACCCGGATTGTTGGGGGCAAAATGCTGACTCTGTAAACCGCTTAGAGTGGGCTGTATAGCATTGTGAAGGGGTATATAAGCCTAAGGGCTATTGCTGTTGCTATAAATCTTGATTCTATCCCTCTGTTGATAGGGCCCAGGATTGTGTTGGCCTTTTTAGCAGCTGCAGCACATTTGCTGGCTCATAAATGGTGGCCCATTGGAACAACCAGATCTCATAACAACACAAATCAGTGTTATGTGCTACACTGGGTTTGTGATGTAAATGTTTTTTTGGGGGGTGGGAGGGGTGACAGCAGACCAGGGCAAGATGAGAGACGCCACTTCAGGGATCTTAAGGCGGTAGAAAGGCCAAAGCTGTCAAGTTGCCTTATTGCCCCTGTAGGTATCATGTCTCGGGATTCCCAAAGGCTCTGAGGATGAGATGTGGGTGCAGCAAGAAAAGGAAGTGCCCAGATGCCACGCCTCCCAACCGCAGTCCCCTCTCTAACAGGAAGGAAGGGAGGGAGGGAGGGAGGGGTTCAAAACACACATCCAGAAAAGAGTCCCAAGTCCTCACCCTTCCGTTCCTTTTATTGCACAGACCTCCCTTCCATTTGCCCTGAGTAGCCAGAGGGAGGGTTTTGAAGAGAAGGGGAGTCCAGAGCAGAGCTGAATAGCATTTCCCAAAAGCAAATCCGGAGCTAGAATCTGGAGAAGGCCGGAAGGGGCTCCAGGCCAGAATCTTGGCGCTGAGTTCACCATGACGGAGACCTAATCTAGCGTCCAGCCAAGGCAACGGCTAACCACCCTGGCTTGAGCCAACCGCTCTCTGCCAGTCCTCCTCCTGCATCCAAGGACAACCCCAGAGAGGGTCATAACAAGTGTTTGTTGCGCTTTGGAATGATTCTGCGAACGGTCCTGCGTTCGGAGATGTTCCGCTTCACTTTGGCCCCCCCCAGCAGGAGGCCCATCCAAGTTCAGGGAAGGGCTGGAGTGAGACTTCTGCAAACTGGGGCAGTTCTCCACCATGGCTGTCAGCCGGGCTTCCCACTGGTCCAGATCCTCTGTGCTGCAGCCAAGCTTCACCTCCAAGAGCTTCACGTACGTCTCATAGCGGCGTTTCTGCACGGGGCGAAAGGGGGCGAGAGTCAAGCAGCGGAATCCGGTTCCATGACGGGGAGAGAGGAAGCCGCGGGCTTCAGACAAAGCTCCCCTCTCCTTGGACCCCTTCTAAGGATGCTATTTTGGGCACGGATTTTCCCCCTTCCTCTTTCATGTCCCACAAATTTATTTATTTATTTATTTATTTTATTCGGCTTATATGCCGCCCTATCTCCCAATGGACTCAGGGCAGCTCACAATAATAAAAACACAAGCCACGATACAAAATAAAATCTAAAATCTAAAAAATTTAAAATTTAACCCTTAAAACCCCATCAGTCCAGGTCGATAGGGAGGGACACAGCAAACATCTCTCTCGTTTACAATTTGATATCTAAAATTCTGTATTCATGGTTGCATATATATATTTATATATATATATATATATATACACATCTCCTGACTTGAACAGATAACTAGAGGTAGGTCGTAGAGAGGAAGAGTGATGTTCTGAAAGGTAACAGCCACGTGAAGAGAAAAATGGCCAGGGATAAGAGCTGTACTTCTGCAGAGATATGGATCTGCAAACTCCTTCCCCAGAAAAATGACGCAGGCAATTCTTAACAGGTGTGTGTGCGTGCGCCATTCGAACTCAATGAACCATTACCTCCCACTGTAGGAAAGGTGTCACTGGAGGATGGCTCTCCCCAACAGAACAAGGCAGTCCACTCATCCTCCCCCACACCTCTCCCTGAAGAACCAACTTTGCTCACCTCATAAAGCAAGTACTCCTTTCTGAGCTGGTACTCCTCCAGATCCCTCCCACGGCCACGCTTCTCCGGCAGATTCCGCTGGAGCTCCTGCAGTTCATGGGACGTCCTGTCCATGCAGGCTTCGTGGGCCAGGTGCTGGTCTTCCTGCAGTGACAGAAAAAGGTTGCAGCCTTGCCTCAAGCCAGCTGCCCCAGTTCTCTCCCCCCACCTAGATCGTCGACTGCGCTGATCTGTGCAACCGGAACCCTGAGATGGAGCCACACTTCCCCCAAGGACCTGCCTTCGACCCTGGCATTTCTTAGAGACTTCATCTAAAGCACTCTGCAGAAGGACCCGGGATTTGACCCTTCCCTCCCCCAGGCACTCGACTTACTATGGAATTCTTGCAAGGAGTAGTTGGCAAAATGGGCCTTATAAATTTCTTTTGGGAGCCCACTGCTGCGGGGAAAGGTGGGGCAGAGAACATGGCTGCCACAAGGTTGATGCGGGAAATCCATGAAGCCATTTCTTCGGGAGTTCTAGAAAAGTAGAATTGAATTTTTGAATCAGCCCCAATTTGGGGATTAACATAATAAAACCATCTCTCCAAAATGTTTAAAACCTAGCCCAAATCAATATTGGGTATGAATGCATCTGCCGGATCTTTACCCATTCTGGTTAAATGTGCTATGTGATCACAGCTCAATAATCAGGATCAATACAAACTCCTGGTCAGTTTGGCCAGGCTGCACCCCGGCATCTCTCCTGCTCCAAAGAATCCCATTTGCATTTCCCAAGAGTCGTATTTGTCAAGAAAACTCATCGGTACCAGGCAGTCAGATGTCTACCATATATTGCCAAAGCAATTTTTAATAAACAATGAGTATAAATACAAAACAAATGCCAAATTATGCAGATAATTCATGATCCTTCAACCACTAAGTTGCTAGAATTCTGCAGTGGCCAATGTCCTGTAAGACCAGAAATCTTTGGTCTGGATAAAAGTTAATGGATGTTTTCTAGGGAATATAATTCAAGTACCTACAACTAGATTGGGGCATCCCAGGTAAAATAAACTAAAAGGTGGAATTCTTTCTTAGGAGGTCCATGCGGTCAATCTGTGATAGCTGTCAAGAACATGAATAACCCCTTGCTTAGGTTGGGAAAAGTAAGACGATACTCTTTATGGTCATACACCCCAAACCCTCTGAATCGAGTATTAATTATTTAGTATATAGCACCTCAGATCTTCTGTATGGGAGCATCCTGCTTCTCCCATTTGGTGAGCAACCATCTCATCCCACTCAAGTTTCCTTCACGGTAAGCTTTGTGGTGCAGTTTCCTTGGCAACAGGTTTGAAGTAATTTCCTCATCTCCTTCTTCTAAATGATTCTTTTCAACATCCCATTCTAACTTATAGTTCCATATCATCCTTTGGAGGCCCCCCCCCCCCCCCCAAATACTCATCAGGTCCAATTCTGATAAGTCTTTCAAGGTCAGCTGTTCAGCTGTTTCATCAAGTGTTAAAATCAATATTCCTCTGGACTAAATCTCCAACTGGACACGGATTGACTAGTAGCTTTACATTTTTCCCTCCCTCTCTCTACACAGTGTGTATGTGTGTAGATGATAGATAGATAGATAGATAGATAGATAGATAGATAGATAGATAGATAGATAGATAGATAGAGACAGATAGATAGATAGAGACAGATAGATATAGATAGATATAGATAGATAAATAGAAAGATAAGATATAGATAGATAGATAGAAATAAAGATATATAGATATAGATATAAAGATAAATATAAAGATATAGATATAGATAAAAAGAAAGAGAAAAAGAAAGAAAGAAAGAAAGAAAGAAAGAAAGAAAGAAAGAAAGAAAGAAAGAAAGAAAGAAAGAAAGAAAGAAAGAATGCTATAGGCTCCTCTTGGAGAAAGACTGCTATAGGTTAAGATGGGCAGCCTATAAATTGTATAAACAGCAATAGCAGTTAGACTTATATAGCACTCCACACTCTCTGAGCAGTTTACAGAGTCAACCTATTGCCCCCAACAATCTGGCTCCTCATTTTACCGACCTTGGAAGGGTGGAAGGCTGAGTCAACCTTGAAGATCGAACTGGCAGTGGGCACAGTCAGCCTGCAATACTGCACCACCACAGCTCATAATAATAAGTAAATAAATAAATAATACTTTAAACTTTGGTGGTGGGGGTGGAGAACCCGAGAGACATGCCCAGGGCCATACTAAGGAGTCCCATAAGAAGACAAGAAACCTAGAAAAGGGCTCCCATTTCTTATTTATAAATAATTTCCACTACTCTTCCGCAGTAGACATGGGGAAGGATGGTGGGAACTCACGGGGCTTGGAAGAGGAAGATGTGCCAGTCTGAAGTCTGGAGCCGGAAGACATGAGGCCGCTTGGTGTATTTGCTGGCTTTCTCTGCCAGGGCGTGAGGTAACCCAATGAGTTCCTCTGAGCTGGACATCTCCAAGTGCTGCTCATCCTGCATGACAGCCAAAAACAAAAGCAAACTCAGCATCCATCTGGGAGGGACAGAGGTGTTCATGCTACAAGAGGAGACATTGTGGGGGGGACTTAATCCCCAGAAGTTCTTCTGAATTTTGATCACATGACCATGGGGAGGCCACAAAGCTCGTAACTGGGAAAAGTGGTCCTAAGTCACATTTTTCAGTACCATTGTAGCTTTGGGCAGTCACTAAATGAGCTGTTGTAAGTCAAGGACTACTGTATACAGAAGTTTAATATCCGCTATCCAGTGGTGAAATTCAAATTCTTTTACTACTGGTTCTGTGGGTGTGGCTTGGTGGGCGTGGTGTGGTATGGCTTGATGGGTGTGGCAGGGTGTGGAAGGATACTGCAAAATCCCCATTACCTCCCCACTGTGGGGCCAGCCAGAGGTGGCATTTGCCGGTTCTCCGAACTACTCAAAATTTCTGCTACCGGTTCTCCAGAACCTGTCAGAACCTGCTGGATTTCACCTCTGCCACTATCTATCCCCATTTATGTATCTTTAACTAATTTGAGCTCCAAGTCCCTCTTTTTTTTCTCCTTTGTTCTCTTGGAGATGACAATCGTCCCGTCACTTTGATTTTACCCAGCATTTCACCTTGTTCCTAAGCGGTGGGGCTACTCCTTCTGCCTCCCTCCAGTTCCCCTCGTTTACTCTTCTACAGCCCCAGAAGCTCTGGGTTTTTAAGCCTCTCTGAGACTTTTTCTTTCTTTCCTTGCATGCCAGAGAAAGTCTTCCGCCACCTGTTTACAGCTCTTGTTTGACATCCACTGCTGAGTGGTTAAAGAGCCCATTGGCAGAGAGCACGGGTGGGTGTTGTAAGAGGGAGGAAGGGCTGTTCCGAGACGGCTTTTAGCAGCCACACCTTAAGGGGATTTCCCCCACCGGCTGCTTGTCAACCACTCACAGCACACACATTTGTGGCCTGATGTGGGGCAGTCCTTGAGCAGAAGGCACTTCCCCTGCCTGCCTGGCCCCTCTTACCTTCAGGAAGTAGAGCACCGTCCCCTTCAGCACAGCATGGAAAGTCTTCCAGCCTCGCTTGCCCCAGGGCGCTGCAGGGAGGGAGGGAAGGGAGGTCAGTTGCTTTCCTCTGGCCGGCTTGCCCGCCCCCCCTTCCTCCAGGTTGCAGTCCAGAGGGCGTGGCTATTTGGATCTTGACCTTAGAGCGCCCTCGACCTGACACCAAGCAGACTGGTGACCACCTGGAGCTTTCGTGGGGGGTGGGCAAGAGAGCAAGAGCCAGGCCTGAAGCCCCCAGCTGGCTCCCATGAGAGACTCTGCCGGCCCCTCTCTGGCCTCTGTCAGGGAAGTGAGAACTGTTGGTCCAGGGCCCCAACTCAGCACTCACTTTTCTTGCCATCGGCCTCTGCGTGCACCTTACGGGCAAGGAGACCCTTCTGGTAGACTTTTGCCCCCGGATCCTGCCACACAGTCAGAAAAGGGTTCGTTTTCCTCTGGCTGCTTGTGGGACTCAGGAGCATCTTTGCATCCATTGCCTCTTCCTCATCCCTGAAGGGAAGAAACAGAAATTTGGCACAGGCTGCATATAGGAAAAAAAACATGTAAAAGAGGGGGAAAAAAAGTCATTTTGGACGACTTAATTACACTAAGGGTCAACAGAAGAGGTTGGGGGGGGGGAAAAATCTGTCTTTACGATGGAATGGAAGAAAATGCTACTGAATCTTAACCTGCAAATGCCTTTCAAATTTAGAGCCCGTTTGGTCTGGCGGTTAAGGTACCAGGCTAGAAAGCAGGTGGCTGCGAGTTCAAGTCCTGCCTTAGACATGAAAGCCAGTTGGGTGTCTTTGGGCCAGTCCCTCTCACAAGGTGGCTGTTGTGGGGAAAATAGGAGGAGGAGGAAGGTGCGTTGAATATGTTCGCCGCCTTGAGTGATTTGTAAAAAGAGCAAAGGTGGGATAAAAATTAAATACCCTAAATAATAAAAGTAAACTGAAGCAAGTATGATAGACACCATTCACAAATCCGTATTTTTCTGTCATGCCACTTGGGCATTCCTCTAGCAGCGTTAAACATCCTGGGGAATCCTGAAATCTTAAGCACCCGCTTCCCTGAGCCGATTTGAACTTGGGAAATATTATTTCGGCCTCCTCCTTTCCTGTGGCAGCGCAGCCCAATCCTGGTGTCAGTTTGAGGCACGATTTAGGCTTCCTGTGGGGGCATACAAGCTCTTCTCCACCAAGTTCTCCTCCATTCCCTTCTCCTTCTCCTTCTTGACAACTATCCCTACAGGATGAATACTTAAAACTCCTGAATTACAGACCGAGTCACAGTAGTCCACCCACACAGCTTATACAGGGCACCCCCCAATCTCCTTTATAATTTAATTTAATTTAATTTAATATTTAAATTTATATAAGGGAGAAGGGAGGGGCCCAAGGGCTTTCATGCCTTCCCCCTTTGACCTCAGCCCTCCCTTCTGCTTCCTCAAAGCCCCCCCTCCCTCCCATATCTTGCTTTTACTTACGTAGCCCATTCCAGTTTCTCATGACGGATGGAGTTGTACAATGCCTGGACAGATAGAAAAAAGCTGACATGTAAGGTTTCTTCCCTGCCTCTAACCCCTGTCCTTCAAGAAAAGCTCCCTGCACCCCCAGAACTGCCCCTTTGGGGGTTCTGCTCTCCAAAGTCCCGCCAATCCTTCCTCAGCTATTATCAGCTGTGAAGAAAAGCTGGGAGCCGCCACCTTTCCAGAAGAGTCCAGGCACCACATCTGGTCTGTGGCCAGACCCAGCCCTCCAACTGACTTGGCAGATGTTGTCAGGCGTGTGAATTTAGGGGGAGTCTCACCCCCTCCCTAAGGCCAGGCCCTTCATCTCACTAGCTCTTCATGGAGGACTAGTTGGGGGTCCTTCGTGTGCCTCTTTTGTCCCGTTTTGGACAGTTGCAGAGGGAAAGTGAAACGGCCCTTCCTGTATCTTGTGTTTTTCTTGTAAGCAGCCTTGTAAATCAACAAAGTTGGGATAGAGACATTCTAACATTGACACTGAGCACCTGATTTTTGGGGGGATGGGTGGGAGGGGAAATTGCTGAATTAGAGCTCTAAGGCTTTCTCTCCATTGACCATGCTGGCTAGAAGAGAGGTTCCACATCTTCTGGGCCGCAGGCAGCCCTTTCATTGCCTTCATAGAAGGAAGCCACACTTACCTTTAGCAGCTCTTTGGGGAAGTCCTTGCCATCATTTAGGCCTGTGAGATTCACAACGAAATCCTGGCAGCTCATGCTTCGGCCAATATTCTGATTCCAGGAGGATGTAGATGAGAGAGACAAAGAGAGCTGAAGTTGTGGCACTCTCCAAATTCTACATCTAAACAAGAACTATCACGTCAACCCGGGTCTGTGGGTACCCTTGACCCTCTCCCACAAATATGGCCGTCCGAATAATTTTTCTCTGCTCGGACACCGTAAAAGGCCCAAGGGAGGGAAGGTGAGCCAAGACTCCTTCCTCTCAGAAGAGTCTCCTTACCTGCCCATGCAAATCGGTATTGAGGAGCATCGTGGCGCAGGTGAGCGTATGCACGGCATCTGCAGAAGAAACGGGAGTTCAAGAGAGATTCCGTAGGCTTCCCCCACAACTAATTGCAAAATATTCCCCTAGGGAATTTGGCCCTCCGTTAAAACAAAAGGCCAGAGAAAATGAACTGAATCTTAAGACTTGCTACCATCAACGTTCAGCTGTTCTGTTCTCTACTCGAGGAACCGGAAGTGGTGGCTTCCTTCTTCCCTCAGACAGACATTTTGTGGTATTCTTAAGAATGGCATCTTCCAACAGTCTTCCACTGTAACTGAGTCCATCCCCCTTGCTGCTAGTCAGTCTCTTCTTCCCTTTCCTTCCCCCTTTCCCAGCGTTAGAGCTTTCTCCAGAGCAGGGGTCTCCAACCTTGGCAACTTTAAGACTTGTGCAAAGTCTTTAAAGCAAAGCTGACTGAGGAATTCTGGGAGTTGAAGTCCACAAGTCTTAAAGTTGCCAAGGTTGGAGACCCCTGCTCCAGAGATTTCGGACTTTGCATAGTATGTCTGAAATGGGATAACTTGAACCTGGTTCCTCAGGAGGGAACTCTGGATTGATATGGATCCAGGCACCATCTCTATTTGCCTTCTTACAGGGCACAGTTTTAGCTGCCCTGCCCTCCAAGGCTCAACTATCTTGTCCCCTTTTCTGTAGCATCTCTTTTTCTTCCCCAAAACTCAAGCTCTTTTCTACTATGAAGTTCTGATATTTCTTTCTGAATTCCATTCATTCTTCATCCCTCATTTCTTATCATTCTCTGTATTTGCTTTGACTGCCTTCCTTACAAAAATTGTTTTTGCTCGCAGTGCCTTGTGGTTTGGCTTATATGTATTATAGCTGCCCCTTTCAAGAGACTCTGGGCAACTTATGAAAACCAATTCTAAGTTAAAACAATTAAAAATAGAGAACAGTCCTGTTTAAATTGCTCTCCTCTCTTATCAGTGGAAGGCAGTTTAAGTGTATGGCAACTACAGAGGTCGTGCAATCGCCGATATACACATTTTGTTTAATTTTTATTTCATTTAATTTTTAGTTTAATTTAAGTGGAAGGCAGTCCCTCGCTGCAATTCTTCAAGATTATTATGAAGCTGGCATTTGCATGTTACGGTTGTTCTTAGGCAGTAACAAAAAATGCAAACAAATGTTGCAGGTCTGTTTACTTTCACTTTCCCTACTTAAGACAGTATTGGTGCAAAGGTTTATATTTCCTCCTTTTATGAGCCTTTCACTAGCCAGTACAATCTTAAGGGAAATTTTTTAAAGATTCTCCTTGAACCCCCCTCCCACAAAGTACAGTCTAGTTAGCTTTTTCCTGTCTGCTCTCCCTACAGTAGAACATTGGCCTTATCTTCCTTCTACAGCAGTGTTTCTCAACCTTGGTAGCTTGAAGATGGGTGGACTTCAACTCCCAGAATCCCCCAGCCAGCAACGCTGGCTGGGGGATTCCGGGAGTTGAAGTCCACCCATCTTCAAGCTTCCAAGGTTGAGAAATACTGTTCTACAGTGTCAGAAGCACAAAGCAGTCAATGAATGACCAGAGCTCCCCCCTCCCGTCAAACTCCCCCCAAAATCCACCCTGCCATGTTGTCTGTAGAGGGCAGGTTGCTGATTCGTGTCCCAGGGCAGCCTCTCAACAGGTCTGTCTCCAGTTTACAAGAATTGTAGTCAAATCTCGAAGGGCACCAGACAAAAAACGCCTCTCATAAAATGGGTTAAATGCCCACCTCTGTGACAGGACTGGCTGCCTAAATGGAATAAACTCCCTTGGTAGGTTCTATTCTAAAACAGGGTTCTGGCAGTGCTAACCAATGATGAAAAAACTGCCGGAAGATCAGCAAATATATAAAAAAAATAGTAAATGGTCACAACGTCCTTTCTCCCTCTTCCTTCTCCCTACATTTTCCAATTTCCACTCCATCAAAAAAAAGGGTATCAAGCCTATTGGACCATCCATCCTTCCTCAAGAACATTATATATGGGATAGTATAATGCTAATGTTCCGGGTTTTAAGGGAAGGAAATAAAATGGAGTGTAAATGGACCACACAAAACATTGCTTGGAATAAACTCACCTGGACTAAGAGAGGCCTCAGGATTGCAGCTGTGGAAGCGCTGAGAGAAATGCATCAGGATCCGCTCCCGCTCCTGAGTCTCCCCGGTGAGCACGAAGGACTTCAGGAAAGACCTGCCAAGAGGAGGGGAAGGTCAGAAGGGAGGCCTGGGATGCTGCTTTTCCCCAGGACTGGTAAACAGCAGCAGCAGCAGGAGGCCTGGGAAACAGCTACCCTCAGGTGGGGGAACGGGGCAACTCGCCATGGCCAACTCGCTGCAGGGCAATTTAACAATTCTATTTAATTATTTAAACAAAGTAAAAATTATTTTAATTTTTGCCATTCACATTTCATTCTGTCCCTATTTTTGCATCCTTTCTTTAATGATTCTACTCCACCACTGGCCTAGCTTAAAATGGTTTTAATGGGGTTTTTAAATTTTCGATTTTATGGATTCTGGGTTTTAAATTGGGAACTTTTCGATTTTGCAGATCTGGGATTTTAAATTGGAAATGCCGATGATTTAATTTATTTTTAGTTTTTTCTTAACTTTTGTACTATATGTGTTTTAAGTTTGGCTGTTCACCGCCCTGAGTCCCCTTGGGGAGAAGGGTGGTATACAAGTTGAATTAATAAATAAAATTAATAAATAAATTTCTTTGATATTAATGTAACTTTTGTCCCGTGGAGAGTTGGCTGTGGAAAACTGTCATAGACCCCCAGTGCCTTTTTCAGGGCTTCCATTCGGCCTGGGGACAATCCAAGGAGGCTGAGGCAGCTGAAATGCTGAGGCTGGGAGGCGCTTCTATCTTCCCCACGGAGCTTCCTTTTAATCTGCCAAGAACTGAGGAGACTTTAGACACAGCCGCCTCTGCTCAACGGTTCCAAGGATTTTTCTTGCGCTCATTTTCTTGCCTTCCCTCCCCACAGCTCCAGGAAGGTCTCCAAACCAAGCAGGCCTTGACTAGGAGCAGAGCTGCAGGAAGAGGCCACTCAATCTTTTTCTTCCCATATCGTTTCATTTGCCTCTTCCCAGCCTTCATGCCGTTGCTCCCCACCTACTCCAGCCCTTTCCCAAGTTAGCTCTTGGCCTCCTGGACTTGGGAGAGGGAAGGGTACCCTCCTCCCTCCCTCCTCATCAGGGAGAGCAGGATATAGGCATTTGGCCATAGGGAACTCTGAAGTTTCACTTCCCTTCCTGAAAATGGAAAGGCAGTACCAAGGGAAGGAGTGCGTTACCTCAGGGCCTGATCCAGAGTTTGCTCAGAGAAGTGGAAGAAGGAGAGGTAGGCCTCAGCGACCATCTGGCTGAAGGTATTGCTGTGGACAAAGGTAGAGGAAGAGCTCAGAAAACTCCAAACGCACCACGAGAACCTCTCAATCTCCTCCTAGGGGTTCCTCACCCCTGCCTGGCTCCCAAAGCCTCCGCTTCCCCACTCCATGCCCCATGACCATGGAAGGTCCATCAAGGACTATGCACAAGTCCAAGCAAAAAGAGAAAAAATGCTACTGCCACCTCCGTTCAGCCCCTTTCGCCCTTGCTTTTGCTGTTCCCTCCTAATATTTCCCTCAGCTGGACTCCTGCTGCCTGTCCTTGGCATTTGCTTCAGGACTGCCAGATTCTGCTGCCGGGGCTGCCTCAGAGGATGGCAGTTTTTACACTGCCGCCTGCTCAAAACACCCTCCATCCCTAGCTTTCAGTCAGCAGAGGGCCACTGGTTGGGAAATGCATTAGCTTCTTCTTCGGATGGTGAAGGAACAACTTAAAACTCAGCACTGTGTGTATCCATAGTGTGCAAGCAATAAAAGTGGCAAACATTCAAATCCCCAAACGGAAGGAGGCGTGTAACCGAAGACTCTCAAGGCCATCTTACTTCTTCCGGAGAAAGGCAGCCACCTGAGATTTCTTGAACCCGTCCAGGTGGTAGAGGCGAGTGGCCAGCCTGTGCGCTGCGGCCAGGTCTCCAGAGGTGCCGTTGGCCAGGAGCAGGGTGCCATTGGGTTCTGCCGTAACCTTGGCAGGCAGACTCTCCCCCGGTTTGCCAAATTCCCCTTCGGGTTCTTCACAGCAGCTGCAGAGGGTGGAGAGACAGAGACAGGGACCCTTGTCATAGCCCAAGAGAATAAATGCCGACACGTGAACGAAGTCACCAGGAGGCAAGAAGGCAAGCAGACTCTCTGGCGACGGCAGGAGAAAAGCCACAATCGCTTCAAAGCGGCCTCCGGATACCTGCTGGGTTGCACCTTGGCCCAAGCCCACCTCCCCACCTCAGCTGGAGGGTGTTGTGTGTGGTGAGCAGACCAGAAAGGCCCACGGTCCCAAGAGACAAAAAAAACAAAGCATCCTTACTAGAACATCGGCTCTTCCTCTCTGCCTTTCGACCTCCCATCGCTTTGCATAGCTGGCAGCTCCACCATCTTGAGTCTCTCTACTGAGCTCGCCCGCTTCCTCTCTACACCACAAAGTGGGATGGAGCTCACATCTGCTCCGCTGACGTCCTTCTGTAGAGAGGAAGTTCTCTCAGGCTCCTCTAACCACGTGCAGGAAGATGAAGGGTGGCCACGGGGTGATACTTGTGGCTCAAACCTCTCTTGCTGCAGATTCTCTTCTGCAGCAGGAGCCGAGAGGACCTGGAAGCTGGAGGGGACGCAGCAACTCTCCCCTGGAGATGTGGGCTTGGGAGGGAGGCGGCTCTCCGGGGACTCTTGCAGCAAAGCAGACATCAGAGAAGTGCTGGAGGCAGAAAACAGCAGCCCTTCTGCCGGCAAATACGCAGATGGATCTGTATGTGGACCAGAGGGACAAGTCAGTCACAAGTCGGTTTCCTTTCCACATCCTGCAAGACCGCAGCCTCTGCTGAGCTGTGCAGCCTAGACAGCTCTACGATGGGGCAGGGCGCTGTGTGATGCTTTTAGAAAGAGCAGGGACAGACTCACCTGGAGTAATGCTTCCCAGAACATCTCCTTGGAGGGGATCCAGAAAACAGCCCTCAGCCTGGAAGATAAATTTTGGTAGTCACAAAAGGCTTGAGGCAGCTGACAACATGAACAGCTGCTGATCCCCCCCACATACACACCCTCTCCTCCCCGGTGCCCTGCCTTCCTGTACATTTCCATCAGGAATGGATTTTCAAGCATTTCGCAAGAACTGTGGAAAGAACAATGGCTGCACATCAGCAGTAGGGGACAGAAATCAAATCAGCCCGGCCTGGTGCAAATGCAGATGGTTCTGATAATGTTTTGTTGAAGGTTAAGGACCTGGTTTTGTGGAAGAGCTTATCTACGCCATTTGCCAGGTAAAGGGTATATTCACGCAGTGGCTTCTAGTTTGCTTTCAGAAACTGTCCCTTCTGCTGTCTCCAGGTCTCAAGGATTTTGAAGACAAGAAATCAAATATCTGGTGGTTGATATAAGAGTAACCCTAACAGGGGCCTACATCTGCATGCGGCGTTAAGAGTGAGCCAAAACAAGAGAGGGTTTTAAGTTTGGATAAGTTCTTGTGCAACTTGCAACATCAGCGTTGCCACAGTGGTGCTGAGGGATGGGGAGGAGGGAAAGAGATACCTGGCCAAAACAAAATAGTTTCCCCTGAGAACCAAGGATATTCCCACAGGTGCCTGAAGAGAGGAAGAGTCAAATTACCCAGCAACCGGGCAGTACCTTGATTGGGTCATGTGACTGATTGTTTGGGAAAAGGGGGAAAACGTTTACTTTTAATTGGGTGAAAACAGTGGGAACCTTTAGAGTTGGTTTTCACCATCTTGTGCCAATATCATATATCCAATGAACTTGTTCTTTGAAGAACCTGCTTGCCTCGGAGTTCTGTTTGCTATGGGCGTATTACTTGGAACCCTGACACCAGTGCTGTCATCCTGGCCCTGAAAGAGGGGCCGGGCAGCTGTCGGAATGCATTCTTTTGTTGCAGAAGACTGGACCTAAATAGGAATTAAAGCTCTAACTAATTTCACGTAAAGCCACAGCAAACATGGTAGGAGATGAATACTCATGAGCCTGTTACCATAGAAGCACTGAGAGCTTCTGCATCAGAGAGAAATTCCTTGTGTGTTGAATTACACTTGGCCAAAATTCAAGCAGCAATAGGACACCTCTCTTACCTCTGAATTCTCTGCCAAAGAGCAGGTGATTTCAAGATCTTTTTCTGTAATCAACAATGGAGACAAGGAACGATAATGGGGCACATAACTTGGAAAAGAAGAGGTGGATGTGTCCTCGTTAGCATCACAGAAAGAAAAATAACTCCTGGCCACAGGGCTTATTGTCACATTGGCCTGGGAAAATAAGTCACCATTACGGTTTCCAGAGTCCATTTCACTTTTTACATTTTTCTTGTAATTCTCAGTGGAAGTTTCCCTTTCTGATTGCAGCCATGGGTCTTGTCCTTCAAAAGTTCTGGTTAAGTGAGGACTTTCCTGAAAGAGTGGGTTATTGAAAAATAAATATTCAGATTCCTCCTCCTCTTCCTCCTCCTCTTCCTCCTCCTCACTTTCTTCCTCCTCCTGTTTCTCTAAATTCTCTTCTGGCTCCTCCTCACTATCACTTTCCAGGAGTAAAGGTTCATTGATGGTAGCTGCGTCCAGGGATACAGAATTCACACCGCGAGTCTGCAGAGGTTCTTTCTGCTTATCCAACTCCTCTTGAAGATCGAAGACACACATCTGAGCTTGTAGAATACCAGCCCAAAAAACAGCATCGTTATTATGCTTATCCTGAGTTTTCAAGTTTTTCATTGGCTCGAGAGGCTGTCCAAATCTCTCAGAGAAGTCCAAGCTTTCTGAAACAGGGTGCAATACTTCAAAATTATTCTGCATTAACACTGGAATGGATTTTTCAGAGGGTGTTTCAGTTCTGCAGTGAAGACCCTCCAATCTGTCCTGTACAAGGCCGAAAGAAGGAGGGGGAACAGCCTGGCAAGTTCCAGAAAATGCAAGCAGATCCCAAGTCTGTTTCAAGCCCTCTCCACGGTCAGAGCTCACTTCCTTTGTTCTGTCCTCAGATGACATATCCATCAAGTCTGAGGTACTGGAGCCTTCGGGGTACTCCATTCTAGCATTGACCATGAAAACTTTCCCAGAGGCAACTAGGGTTCCGGTCTGATTTTCAATAGGCCGAGAAATATGGCTCTCTTAAAAGCAATCTCCATGAATCTCTTGTTTGTCCTGCAAAAGAGAAAGTAGAAATATATATTCCGGTTAACACTTGCTCCAAAGGAATAGTTTCACGGCCTGCTTCTGACTTTCTATAATGAGAAGCAGTATCAAAATATTTCAAATATATAAATAATTAAACAGATCAATGAGAAAAAGAGCCAAAAGTTGCCAAATATAAGCTGCTGGAAAAACAGCCCCTCATGCCGTTGATGGCACTCCTGCAGGTGCCATCAAAGGAGTTGCTAGTCCATCTGCATTTTGCACATCAAGATTTAGGATATTATCACAACAAATATAATACAGATTGACATAGATGAATCTACGAACTAAGGAAGTGCCTGAAAGTGCCTGACTAGGTGGCTCAGTGGCTAAGACACTGAGCTTGTCGATCAGAAAGGTTGGCAGTTCGGTGGTTCCCTAAATCCCTAATATAGGTTTCCTGCGTGAGCAGGGGGTTGGACTAGATGACCTCCAAGGTCCCTTCCAACTCTCTTACTGTTACTGTTAAAGGGAAAGAGAAGGGAAACCAAGTGGCTATTAAAGAGCCATGAAGCATATTTGTTGAATTGTTTTCTTTCACGGCACTCTGGTCTTAGTCCCACCCCCAATCCCCACCCACCCCTTATCAAACCATCTTTTAGCAGTGAAGGTTTTCGTTATCTTTAAATGATAGTGGGTGGAGAACTCGATGGTTATTTCCACTACTTACCACCAACAGATACAATGTGGGACATCCATATTGTTGAAATCCAAGGGGGTTGCCTAAATAGCTGAACTAGGGGAAGCCAAACAAGAAAAAACAGATTGTTCACTCAAAACAAATCTTCTGTACATTCAAATTCAGCTGCTGTCTTTTTTCAGCTACTGCAAAGAAACAGTAGAAAAGCAAAATTGTTATGCACATTTATTTATTAAATTTATATAACCATCTGTCTCATAAGAAGTGACCTTGCACCACAACAGGCAAAGCAACGGAGATGGGAAATGAACAGAACTCTAAAAATAACAGAATATGTCTTAAAATCCAAGACCTCGGTGCCTTCCGCCGTGCCCTTAAAACTTTCTTCTTTCAGCAAGCCAGGCTGGCTTAATATATTTTTTAAATATTTTTAATTGGTTTGTTATTTTAAATTGGGGCCAAATTAATATATATCTTTTTAATTGTTTTTTAATGTTTGTATTGTATGTTTTTATCTGGCTGTACACCGCCCTGAGTCCCTCAGGAGAAGGTGCGGTATATAAATTCGAAATAAAATAAAAATAAATAAATAAATAAATAAAATGTAGTCAGCCACGTTGTTTATTTATAATGTATTTATTTTATTTATTTGCTTAAAACATCTGCATATCGCTGGGTCCACATGGACTCTCAGAATATAGTGGTTTTGGCGAAGAAGCCTGTAAGATTTTCCCTAATTGTAGGGCAATTTTTAATAAATAGTTCAGGGGAAATAGTAGATATCTCTCCAGCACCACTTTCCTCCTCTAGTTCTCTCAACTGCTGAAAGACAAAGAAGGGAGACACCCCCTCACAGGCCAACTTCCGTTCCCAAGAGTGCAACCCACCGAACCTTAGACTGGGGTCTCATGAGATGAGCAGGGAGGGGGCTTTTCCTCTGTTCTCAGGCAGAGACTCTGCCCAGCAGTGAAAAAGACACCAAGAAAGGCTGCCCCATGTTCTAGACCAGGGGTCTCCAACCTTGGCAACTTTAAGACTTGTGGACTTCAACTTCCAGAATTCCTCAGCTATCCATTTGCAAAGCTGGCCGAGGAATTCTGGAAGTTGAAGTCCACAAGTCTTAAAGTTGCCAAGGTTGGAGACCCCTGGTCTAGAGGACAATGTCACTGCAAACGGAAAGACACAAACCCTGGTTTGATTGGAATCCATAGGAGCTGGCAATTCCTCATCACGCAATGCTTAGACGGCCAACCTTCAGCTCATCCGTGTGACCCACCAGCCCTGTGGGGCTAAGGAAAAAGCCTTTCATTATGACTATTAAACTGACCCCGTGGCAGTTTTGAAAGTAGGCCTCTTCTTCTCCCGGTCAGTAAGGATGGTACACAGGAACTCCCCAGCCGTTGCCAATGTGGCATCCACGCACCTTCCCTGTGTTGGAACCCCTTGAGGTCATCCAACCCTGCAACATAGGGAAGAGGCTCAATTTGGCCTCTGGGGAGGAGCGGCGTCCTGATTCCCTGCTGACCAAGAGAAGTGAAGGCTGCCTCAGAGCCAAGTTTGGGCTCTTCTTATAGCGTAACAGAGGAGGGTCCAAAACCTATGCAAAATCTTGTGGCCAACTGTCTGTAGTACCCCAGCCTCCAGAGCTTTCCATCTAAGCTACTCTTGCTTTGCAAGGAGCGAATGCTGAGGGCCATTATAAATTTTAAGAAAAGGTTGATTTGTAACTCAGTGCTGCTTCAGTGGGTGAAATGATTATTATAGGGTAAAACAGGTTCAAAAGAAAGTCAGCCGGTTTGGAGCTACCTGGGGCAGAAAGTAAATTAAAAGAAGAGTGAGGAATGATAGGAAATTGCTCTTCTGTCTTGAGCTTGCATCCTGCTCCTTCTAAACGGGAAGGAATAACAGCTCCTTTATTTTGGCATTCCAGCAAATCTCCCCCATGCTTTTCATCCTTCCCTTCAAACAGCCCAAGAACGAAGCGTCCTCCTTCAACCCAGCTTCCCCGAGAGCTGTAGGGAAGGAATCCCCAAAGGGGAGACACCGCTTGCCCCCCAATTATGGCTTCAGAAAGCAGGGGCCCTTTGGGGGCCGCCAGCCTGGCCCCTCTGCCCGCCTGGGGGGGGGGCTCCTCCTGCGGGCTGCCTTGAAAAGGCCCATCCGGTGGAGAGCCGGGTTCAAGTCCTGCCTGGCGTGTCCCCAGGAAGGGCAGCCGGGGAGCGTCCGGAGGGCCGCAGCCCCAGGGAGGGAAGGCAGGTGGTGATGAGCCAAAGATGGGCCAGCCTCGGACTCGGGGAGGCCGCCCTGTGGAGCGGTTCGGCTGCCCCAAACTCCCCTCTGGGCATGGGGCTTTCAGCGCCCGCCTTCACGGGAGAAACGGGATCGGAGGGTCTTTTTCTGGGAGTTGAAGTCTGCCAGGCTTAAAGTGGCCGAGGTTGGAGACCCCTGTTTTAGGAGACCCGTTTTGGATTCAGAGGCTGCGGAGATTTGCTTTTCTTTCTTTCTTTCTTTTTCTTTCTCTCTCTCTCTCTTCTTTCTTTCTCTCTTTTTCTTTCTTCCTTCTTTCTTCTTTCTTTCTCTCTCTTTCTTCTTTCTTTCTCCTTCCTTCCTTTTTATTTCTTTTTCTTTTTTATTTCTTTCTCTCTCTCTCCTTCCTTCCTTCTTTTTTTATTTCTCTCTCTTCTTTCTTTCTCTCTTTTTCTTTCTTTCTTTTTCTTTCTTTCATTCTTTTTCTTTCTTTCTCTCTTTTTCTTTCTCCTTTTTCTTTCTTTCTCTTCTTTTCTTCTTTCTTTCTTTCTTTCTTTCTTTCTCTCTTTCTCTCTCTCTCTCCTTCCTTCCTTCCTTCCTTCTTTTTTTATTTCTCTCTCTCTCTCTTTCTTTCTTTCTCTCCTTGGGAGCCGCCTCCAGACTCCTCCTCGGCTGCTTTTCCCCCAAGAAAAGGCGCCCCTCTCCGGCTGCGACCCCCGGCCGAGGAAGGCGGGGCCCCTTCCTCCCCACCGCCCACGGGCCTGGCGTTGGGGCCGCCGGAGCCGAGCATGGCAGCGCGGGGGCTCCTCCGGCCAGCCCGGGCCCCCAGGCCCCTCCGGAGAAAGCGGCGCCTTCCTCCGAGCGGCCCCGCCGGGCTTCCGGGCAGCCGCTTCCACGAGGCCGGCCCGGCGGAGGCGCGGCTCTTCTCCCCGGAGGGTCTCCGGAGGGAGGGAAGCGGAAAGCCCACCCGGCGGGCCCGGCGCCCACTTACCTCCGCGGGCCCCGCTCGGCGCCACCGGCCGGTCGGTCGGCAGCATTTCCGGCCTCCGCGCCGCCCGAGCACAAGGCCCGCCTCGCCCGGGAAGGCGGCTCCGCGGCCCCGATCCTCTCTCCCCGGGCCCCGCCGGGCCTCCACCGCATCCCTGGCGGTGGGCGCTCCCTGCCCGGCCCCGGGGCGACTCCGGAGGGTCCCTGCTTGGAGCGGCCGAGGGAAGCGGGGCAGCCCCACCGAGCCCCTGGTGGGCTGGGGAGGGTCGGTGTTTCCCCCCCCCGGGGCTCCCCCTGCCTTGGACCAGGCCCAGAATTGGGGGGGGGGACCCCACCCCCCCCCCCCCGGAGTCCGCCCCCCCCACAGCCCCAGGGAAAGCCAGGGGGGCGGCCGCCCCCAGGGGGGGGGGGGGGGGGGGGGCGTGGGAAAGAGCCGGGGCGTTGGGCAGGTGGGCTGCTCAAGGGGGTCCGTGGGAGGGTCCCCCAAGGGGGAGGGTTTGGGGAGGGGGGAAATGGGGCTCCCTGGGTTGCATGCTTCTTTCTTTGCCCCGGGAAGGAGCTGCCCAGGTTGGCCCCCCAGGTGGGAAGGTCTACCCAAGTAGAGTTGGGGGCCAACTTGGTTGCTGGGCTGGGCATCCCTGTCCATCTCTTGCAGGCTCTGATTTCACGGTGGCTGCTGACCTTCACAGATCTCCAAAGCTCCAGAGGTTAGTCCTCTGCAAGGAAGGCCTGTGGAGGCATCTGGTTGGGCTTCCAGAGCCCCAACTCTTCTGGAGCCTCCTTTCTGGCCTCCTCCTCCTCCTCCTCACTGTACTTACCTCCTGTAGGACCTTTCATCCTCCTCTTGCCCAGGCCTGAGCAAGGATCCCTAGGGAACCGGTGCTGCTTCCTAAGAGCCCCTGCTGGGAATGGGGACAGATCCCTCTTGATCGTTGGCTGGTTTTTTTTTTGTTTTTTTTTTTACATGATTTTGCAAGACAACCTGACTCAAGGCCACTAACTCTGTGACGCCGACCTCCGTTCGAAAGGCACGAGCATTGGAGCAAAAGGAAAGGAGTAGAGGAGCCTCTCTCGTCTTGCAAAATACTGTGTGCAAATGGAGAAGTGCTAGTTTGCCTCCTGCACAAGCTGCAGGGCTGCTGTCTGAACCGGAACTTACAGCTCTTGGGAGAGCAGCACAAACCGCACCGGCCACGGTGGCTACTGCCTCCCCCAACTACTCTGAAACGAAGGCCATGAAAGGAGCAGGAAGCCCAAGCAGAACTAGGCTCGGACAGCAAGGCAAGGGAAGTAGGATGGAGACCGGGTCCCCCCATGTACAGCAATTTCCTTCCACTAACGCAAGAAAAACTAGGCCGGTCCTTGCTTTGAAAATTATTTGGAAGAGCTGCTTCAAAATACATTGAATGCATCGTGGCGCCTCCTTAAAGTGTGAAGCTAAAAGAAAAGCCATTTTTAAGGGAGCTGCTGCACTCACTGCTGCGTGTTTTGAAGTATCGCTTCCAAAGTGCATATAAGTTTTATTGAGCAAGCACTGAACAGAGTCTGAAACGATTCAGTAAAAATTGGCATGAACAGAACAGAACAACAGACTTGGAGGGGACCTTGGAGGTTTTCTTGTCCAAACCTTGCTCAAGCAAGAGACTATATTATTTCAGACAAATGGCTTCCCAGTCTCTTAAAGGTCTCCAGCAATAAAGCACCCACAACTTCTAAAGGCAAGCTATTCCAGCTTGGTATCATGTGCAAATTTGACGAGTTCCCCTTCTATTCCCTCATCTAAATTGTTTGTGAAGATATTGAAGAGTACTGGGCTTAAAACAGAATCTTGGTGCACTCCACTGCATACTTCCCTCCATGTAGATATAGTTCCATTAAAGACAACACGTTGAATGCAGTTGGTCAGCCAGTTATGAGTCCATTTGGCGGTGATGCTGTCTATCCCACATTTTTCTATCTTACCAAAAAGTAGGTATCGTATTGTCAGATACCTTACTGAAGTCCAAGTATACTATGTCCACAGCATTTGGCTGGTTAGGGTTAGGGTTAGTACATCCACTAATTACTTTGTCAAAGAATGAAATAAGATTTGTTTGGCATGATCTATTTTTGACAAACCCATGTTGGCTTATGGTTATAATTTTGCTTGCTTCTAGGTGTTCTCAGATCTGTTGCTTATTATATTTTCCAGGAATCTCCCAGGTATTGATGTCAGGTTGATCGGTCTGTATTTTCCTGGATTTCGTTCCTCTTCCCCCCCCCCCTTTTTTTTGAACTACATCAATACTTTTCCCGTTGTTCCAGGATTTTTGAAAAATACGGTTCAATGGTTCTGAGATCACGTCCACCAGGTCCTTCAAAACTGGGTTTTGAATCCATTTGATTCTGGTGATTTGAACTCGTCTAGAGTGGACAGGTGTTCTCTTACCATTTTTTTGCCAATTTTAATTTGTATTCCTAGCCTGCCTTTTCTCTTCTCTTCTCTTCTCTTCTCTTCTCTTCTCTTCTCTTCTCTTCTCTTCTCTACTCTACTCTACTCTACTCTTCCATCCCCTACCCATCTCCTCCCCTCCAGCAGTGTATGTCATTATGGATGCTGTAATATCACCGCACTAGCTTCCTATAAAATTCCAAGTATAATTCCAGGTGTATTATCATCTGTATCAGGGGTTCCCAACCCACAGACCGCGGCCCACTACCAGGCCGTGGCTTATTCAGAACCAAGCCGCCACTTGCACAAGCTGAGATGCCCGCCCACATGCATACACACTGGCCTGCCTCTCGCACAGCCCTGTTCTCTTCCTTCCCCTCCAGCTGCACCTCCAAGCCTCAAGGGTTGGGGACCACTGATCTATATAGCCCTTCCGGACCCTCCGTCTACCATTGTCTCTGCTCAGCCTGTTACATCCAGCAAAATGGGCAGACTTCAACTTCCTTCCATGAAACAGTGCCACCTAGTGGGAACGAGGGACTGTGCCTTCTGCTGCAGGTGCCTCCCCTATGGAAGATACCTAATTCTCCTGAGGTTGGGGGGGCCCTAATCCTCCTGCTACCCCCTAAAAACCTGGCCGAAGTGGTGGAAGGAGGTGGTGGGCACCCCATTCTCAAGAAATCATTGCTGGGCTCAGTAGTTTAGATAATTTTCATCCAGTCTCCTTTTTTGAGCGATGTAGAAAAGGTGGCTTATTTATTTACTTATTTATTTATTTATTTGCTTATAACATATATATATTTATTTATATTATATTTATTTATTTATTCAATTTATGTGCCGCCCCTCTCCAAAGACCCAATTTGATTTCTATAGCCACCCAATTGACTCTGAACAATATCACAACACTGGGAACCATAAAACCACAAAAACAGTAATAAATAATACATATCGGCAACTGAAGGACTATATGCATTACTGTTCCTCCTTTTGAAGGAACAGCATTTGGAATCGATGTTTTTAAATCTCAAAAGAGGGGCGTTTGAGGACCCCTTCATAATTTTGTCACCTAGCTCTGAAAGAATGCAGTCAAAAATACCAGAACGTTAGTGTGGAGCTGGTTAGAAAGAAAAAGATACCCATATGATTTGGGAAATGGATCAGAAAAAAAAACAGGATGTATAGGCTTATTGTAAATATGTAAAGACATTTCACTTCTCATCTAAGAAGCTTCTTTAGCTCTGACAGGATAGTGAGGAATGGAAGCTCCTGTCAGAGCTGAAGAAGCTTCTTGGATGAGAAGCGAAATGTCTTCAAAAGAGAAAACAAGAAAGTCCAGTTGCCTCCTGAAAAAGCACCTCTGGGACAATCATGACCCGGATGATTGAGAATCTCTACAGACTGTAAATATGTTTATTTGCAAATACTCAAAAACACAAGGAAGATGCTAGGCGGTGCTGAAAATGCTCCCTCGGAGCGTTAGAGGACCTCCCAAGTATCGGAGGTCAAGAAAACAGAACAGATGCAATTGTCCAGTTGCCTCATGCCACACAGTCCTCTATTTTTTATGGACAAAACAAAGCAAGAGGAATATGCTGGTTGGACCTTCTGAAAAACTGCATGAATGGGGAAGGAGGGCTGCATGGAAAAAAACCACAAGTCTTGTTTGCAAGCACCTGATCAGATGCCAAAAATAATCCCAAAGCCTGAATTATGTACAGCAATGGAAATATCAATGCATTTGGGCAATCCAGCTGCCTTGATCTTTTGCTCTCTAGTTTACACTTATGTGCCAGTTTACCTAGAAAATCGCCGTTTTCTGAATCTTCTTAGCAACTGTCAAGAGACGGGGGGGGGAGGAAAAGGAGGGACAGAGAAAGATGCAACGGCATAATTAGGATTAAGTGCCACTATGAACACCTCCAATCCTTTAACTCCTCCCTTTTTACCCATCTATCTACATCTATCACTTGCATGGTACTCCAATTCCAGAAAACTACAGTATTATTAGAAAATTAAAACTTGAAATCAATTAATAAATCAAATCTGGGCTGCTGCTTTCTGGGGTAGTATGATCAATAAGCCAAGGAATTCCAGTAAATTGCTGACTAAAGAGAGGCCACTCGGGAATAATCCTGTCTCTTCCCTCCCCAGAAAACAAGCTGAGGTTCACCACAATCAAAGACGAAGGAACACCAAGAGCAGCTCCGCCATCAGGTTGAGCAGGTCAGATGGGAGTGAAGGTGTACAGCAGTTGCAGTGTTTGCTAAACACACCCTCACAAATAGTACGGTACTCTTGGTCACCTGAAGTGTCCATCTCTACCTTCAGTCTGTGCAGATGCAACATCTGAAGCCTAGGCGTAAGTTGCTCACTCATCACTGCTCACCTGCCCAGGTTTTGGTGATGCATGCCAGGTCTCTCATCCCAGTTTGAATCGTGGATGAAGACTGATTAATGACAGAGCTGGCATTTTAAGAGTATCAGCAGAGATGGAGGTACACCTGGCTCTTAAGACAAGGTGAGGAGTTAGAAAAAGGTTCCTTTGCTGCCTCCCTCTGCTGTCACAGCCTTGACTCTCCCTTTCTCCTCTTCCCTGCCCAATTTGATAGGAGGAGAATGTGTCACAGGCTCCAGCGGACTTCTGAATAACAAGCTGGGGATTCACACTCCAAGACTACCTGGTGCTAAGACAAAATGAATTTTTTTTAATTTAATGCATATTTTGAAATCATTAGAATGAAATGTAATCAATACAGTTACTTCAAATGTATTTAATTCCTTTCTGGGAAACCAGGGCTCATAAATTGGCTGGCATATATTGCGCTCGTAGCTTTAGAGGTCTGCAGATAATTTGGTGGCTGCTAGCTGCAAAACCTGCATTTCTGAATCCAGAAAGTGAGCTAACTCTAGAAACACGGCGTCTTTTTCCTGCCGCTTTGTTCTCTTGAAAAGCAACCCCCTGCAGAAATGTTTAGACTTAGAGAAAGGAGTAGCTGTGAGACCCTGCCCTTCAGGAGTGGGCTTTGTCCTTTGAAGGAAGGTGGAGAGGCTGGCTTAAGATTCAGGCTGGAAATAGAAGTCCACCAGGTGAGAAGATCCTGGGTTATTGATCAGCCCAATGGGTTCGTTGGCTTTGGAAGAAGTGCAGAGGAACCAGCCCGGGTGGGCAGCTGACTCGAAACGCCATATTCCATCTTTTTTAGACACGAAGAAGGTGAAGCGGGTGGAGGCCTCTTTATCTTTGCACAGGTCTGAGATGTTGACATTCTGAGGAGAAGAAAGAGGTTTTCAGGGAAGGGAACAGCCTCAAGAAGCCTGCTCAGGCCTGAAAAGTTACCACGAAAGGGGCTCCCGATAGCAAAATCAAGGGAAGCTATTGATGGTGAAGGAACCCTAAGCTAGCGTACATGTTTCCCTGAGGAGAGCATATCATGGACTCCTCTTAACGAAAAATAATCCTAGAGTAACCAGGATCGTATTTCTGGAGCTGAGGGAGAAAGCAGAGCCACTTCCACACCATTTCTACACAATTTGCTTTCTTGAAGCTCCAGTCCTTGAGAAACTACTGAAGTCCTCAGGAGAAGCTGGGCTACAAAGTCCTGTGGGTTTCTGCCGGTATGAATGTATGAGAGAAATGAACAAAATAAATAAAAAAGAGGAAGTGCCTCTGTCTCCCCTAGTCCATCTTGAAGAAAGAAAATGGCTGGTTTTCATCTGCTTCACTTTGAAAGCTGAAAATCAGGAGAAGAAAAGGAGACCACCCACCAAAAAATGGGATGGGTTGAGGGTACAATCTGGCCGCCTCTGCTCTCTTATGCGTATCATGGGTAAGATCACGTAATGCTGTGATCTACAACCTGGTTACCTGGGTTTGCTAGGAGAGGCTTCCACACAAACACATCCCCCTCTAAACCATGTTGTAATCCCCTCCTCCCCTGTGTGCACACAGAGAGCTCTACTGTCCAGTCACTCTGTAGCTTTGCTGTCCAGTTACTCTGTCTAGGAAATACCAAGTAGCAGCACAGATAAAAGTGACCTGGGACGTCATCGGACGGTTGCTTCTCACCTCCAACTGCAGCTCAGGCGGGGACCCCGGAGAGCAGGCCAGGCAGCTCTTCCCACCCCGAATGCTCAGGATGATGGGGAAGTTCTCTTGGCCAAAGGCCTGGTTGCGAACCCAGAAAATCTTTTCTGGAAGGAGGAAGAAGAAGGAGGGAGAGACACTGAAGCGTAGTTCAACTCATACCTAACTAAATCAAGGTGGTGTTCTTTCTTTCTCAGACTTTCTATTTGCCCAAGATTCAAGTACTTTTTTCTACATTCTCCTTCCTCTTCTCTCAGTCAAATCAACATTTTGTTTTTTCACAAATGGGGAGGAAACATCTTAAATAAGATCTGGAATAAAGAATTCACGTTAGGGGCCCAGCCACAGCAAAGTTGGGGAAATGGGGCGAGAGCAGCATTGTATGCTGGGGGTGAAAAAGGAGCCAAAATGAACATGGAAGTACTCCCCTCCTCCATGTCAGTTGGGGTAACGAGGAAACCAGGCTGCAGAAAACTAGCATCTCAACCATTGAACATTATAACCCTCTGCCACCAGGTCTTCTCTTGATTTTATTTTACATTCTCTTTGAAAAAACTCTTAGCTTCTCACAATAAATTAGCTATTTATGTTTGTCTGTTTGAATCAAGCAGACACACTGAGAAGAGCGGCAACACAAAAGAAAAAGAGCAAGCTACAAATGTGTACATAATTATACAAATACCCACCCCACCTCACCATAAGTTGCTAGAGAACTCTTCAAGCCTCTTGAGCTCCTGAGGGTGGCTGTAGGAGGAAGAACTCAAAAAAAAAATCTAAAACTGCAAAGATGATTTCTTATCTCTCCTCTAGGTGGTTTTAGAAAAGACTCACCTTCCAGTGCAGAGTTGGGGGCTTGCAAGTATCCGGCTATTAGTTCATTGTTCTGAAGGTATAGGGATTTCTGGTTTACATCCCAGAGCCTGAAATGTCAAGATTTGTGTTTTAAAAGAAAATTTCTATTTTTTTTCTCTCTTCAGCCATTAACCTCTACATTGGCCATTGTTGTGTGGAAAATAGGAAAGTGTATTAGGCATATTTGTTATCTTGAGTTATTTATAAAAATGACAAAGGCGGAATAAAAATAAATACCATTATACAGCAGTCTTTTATTTGATAGGTAGGTCCATTTAAATGCTGCTTCTTGATTTAAGAGCTGCCTTGCTTTTTATAGCATGAGCTGCTGTTCATCCACTCTCAACTCCTGCCTTTGCCTATTCGCTCAAATCTCCTTTGCGCAGGAAAACCCAAGCAAAGCCCTCATATTCATAATGGGGATAAAAGAGCCATACTGAACTCTACTTTTATATGCCATTTGTGGTTTTGGGTAGCTTACAAAACCTAAAATCGGTGCAATTCTAAAGCATTAAATAAACACCATAAAAACACTAGTCCAGCTGTCCCTTCTCTAAAGCTTCCATTCCAGTGGCAAATGCTTTTATAACACAGACCTCACCATGGAGAAAACGGTGCTACCAATTGATGCTATAATAAATATATTCATAGCGGGACCTACAATCTGAGTCTCACAAACAATCTCGAAATTGTGGGGCAGAACATTCTGGTAATGCCATGAGAGAGTAGAGGAGGAACATCAGTGCATCTCTCCTTCCAAAGGAAGCCAGATTCTTGGCCAGAATAAACTTGCTTCCACCCATTCAGAGATTCATTTCTTGAGATCAGAGTCTCTCTTGATCTCAAGAGGCATCCAGTTTTCAGTGAAATGAGCAAACAGGTGCCCAGTGGGACTCAGCCCTCTTTTCTTTGGGGCTTCAGGTCCCTTCCTGGAGGAGGGAGAATGGGGAGAGAGGCCTCTGTGAGATTGGTGTGCTCCAAGATGTGGCAGGCTCCCTGGGGTCTCCCTCTTTGACCCTCGGCCGAGCTGCCAGGACACTTACCGCGACTTGAAGACGGCTCCCTGAGCCCAGGCCTCGTTTTCAGCTGCACACAGAACAGAAAGCAGGAAAAGGGTCATTTTATTTGTTGAGTACCTGCCGGACTCCATCATGTGCAACACATCCATCATCTCTGCTGAATCAGCCCAGCTGGCTGTTTTATAAAGTCCATGACAACCACACAATTGGAATGTACGTTATTTCCAGACATGACACTTCTGTGACATAACCCGCTAAATTTCCAACCACTTTCGTGCGTGTTGCAATTCATGTTGCAACTCTGAGTGCTGAAACTAAACTTCCCCAAATTAATAGAATGGGCTCCTATTGCTGTATACAAAGGGGAAATGAAACCGCAGCGCGTAAATGAAAACATACATTCAACTTGAAGTTGTACTCATAACAAAGAATGTAGCTATTTAAAAACCTGTATTCAAAATAAATTAAGATGGGAAGTGTAGCCAGGAACTCTCATTACCAGATAATACAGAGTTCTCAAATAAATAGCGTCATTAACTTTCCTTTGCATCCTGTTATTCCAAAGACTTTCCATTTCCAAAAGAACCAATAAGCGTATCAGAATACAGGAAGCATTAAACAGGCTTTCTGGTCTGACCTGCGTGGCCTTTACAAGCCAAGCATCCCGATGGCTGAATTATCACCTTCCAACAGCCCCACCATACCTGACTGAGCCAGCTGCTCCTCTCCCTGTGAGTTGCCCATGGCTTCTTCCCCTTCTTTCAGCTTCAGCTGGAACCTCTGAGGGTTTCACCCACCAAGCTATGGAACAGCCGGAAGTATCTGAAAAGGCGTGACCGAATCTGCAAGATTTGGATTTTAAAATGTAGATCTCGACTGATAAGGATGGCTCTCTTAAATCTGGTACACGTTTTAAATACTTGATTATAATAGATTGTTTTTATTCCATTGGCTACTTTTGTTGAACATCAGCTATTGATTCATTTCCAGTAACAGGATTACTTTATATATAGTGATTTAATGTCGTTTTGAAAATTTTGAAAATTTTGAAAATTAATGTCGAAATTGAAAATTGTTCAATTTCACAGGGTATATACGGTAAATCTTTCTTTCTAGTTCTTCTTTCATTTGTTCTTCATGGTTGCTTTTATTAAGTATCTATTAAAATTAAATTAATTTTTTTTAAAGTGTAGCCAAGCCTGAGAATATTCTTATAAGGCAGGCAGATTATCTTTCCCGTTTTGAGATCAGCCTTTCTGACCTTAAGCCTGAATTTGTTGGAAGAAAAATCAGGTTCCAAGCTGGTAGAAAGAAGCTGAAATAAAATGGAGGCTGGCTGTAGGAAAGGAGGTCTCCAGAAACTTCTGGTAGCCAGAAACTACAGTAACAGCAGCATGTTTCTGGGATGGCTGATCAGGTGGGGTAGAGAGTAGGTGGGCTTTTACACATTCTTTGGGGCTTTATGATTGAAATGCCTGTTCCCCTGCAAGAATATGTCCTTTAATATTTTAATGGATGTTGCTTGATTCCTATGGGGTCACGTAGGGGTCATGGCTGGCTCTACAGGCAAAAGGGGAAATGCAAATCCTATGTATTTTGTCTGAGCTAATCTTGTCAGCTTCGGCTGCTTGTCTGTTGTGTTGCTTATTAAGGGTTTCTGGCTGCTATTTGCTTATGAATAGAGTGGCCCAGTTTTCTGAATGGACACAAAATACCCATCCCTAAAGACCAGCCTCTTCGGGTTTGTGCTTGAGGCTGTTTTCCTATAGCAGGAAGACTGGGGATGCTTTCTGCCTTTAAGAAGATGTCTCTCCTCTTCTCCTTCAGGGGAAATATTCTATTCTGCCTCTTTTTAATATTAAGGAAAAGAATATTTTATTCTGAGAAGGGGGGCTTCTTCCTACAAATCTGACCTCAGACCAGCCGATTGCCAGACAGATGGACGAGGCTGCCATAGCTTTCCTGCTTAGTTTTGCATGCAACCAGAGAGTTCACCACAGCTACCACTATTGCCCTCTTTTTAAAACCATCCATTTCAATGCCAGGGTTTATTTGTTCACTACTTATTAGAACATTTCTAGACCACCCCACTTCTCATAGCTCAAGGAGAGATACACACAATTATAAATAAACAGTATAATAATAACCAATGTGACTCAAGTCTACTATCTACAATGAAAAGCGGAATAGAATAAAATGGATTTCAGTGCTTTGCAGAAAGCTGGCATGAAGGCAGCTTCTACCCCAAAAATGGAGGATGTCCTCCAGTTCTTGCTCCATAAAGCTTATGCAGCTTGAGCAACTCATCTTGAGAAACTCCCAGGGGGACAAGTTCCGGTCAGGAGAGTGCATCCTCCAAAGGTGCGGTGCCAAGCATCTTCAGTTTGGTCTAGGAGCCTCTGGGTAGCTAGTACAGAGACCTCACGGCAGATGGGACAAGGCTGAGTCTACTTCTTTGACTAAATTGCAGCTTCCCAGTTATTTTCAAGAGTAGCTGGATGTGAAATATATTTCAGTAAACTGACTGCAAGATGAGGAGGATATGAGTCACTGTTGAAAGATTCTGCAGCACCAAGGAACTACCAGAGGACTGGAAAAAAAGCTGATGTGGTTCCCAATTTCAAAAAAAAAGTGGGGGATAGGAAACAGGTTCAGGAAACCAGAGACTAATCCGCCTGACGTCAATACCTGGAAAAATTCTGGAAAAAATAATCAAGTGATGGACCTATGAACATCCAGCAATAAGCAAAGCTAATATTAGAAGCCAACATGGGTTTGTTAAAATCAGATCATGCCAGATAAACCATATTGCATTCTTCGACAAAGTAATTAAAGTAATGGACCAGTGAAATGCTGTCGACATAGTACATTTAGATTTCAGTAAGGCATTTGGAAAAGTAGATCACAGTTTACTTCTTGGTAAGAACTACATCTACATGGAGGGAAGCATGCAGAGAGATAACCCCAAGGTTCTCTCTTAAGCCAGTAGCCTTCAACATCTTCATCAGCGATTTAGATGAGGGAATAGAAGGGGAACTCATCAGATTTGCAGATGACAACATCAAGTGGGGGATAGCCAGCACTTTAAAAGATGGGCTCAAGAGCCAAAAGGATCTCGACAGACTTGAACACTCGATCTCATCCAACAAAATGAAATTCAACGGTGAGAAAAGTTGTCCCAAAATTGGTTCAGCCCGGCACAGAAGCCAATCTGAGCCAGACACGCGAGACAAAACTTTTATTGAAGTGCTTCAGCAGAAGGATCCCAGTCCAATTGGGGGCTGAGACCCTGAACAACAGCATAGCACGATCTTTTATACCGGTGTTTCTCGACCTTGGTAGCTTGAAGATGGATGAAGTCCACCCATCTTCAAGTTTCCAAGGTTGAGAAACACTGTTTTATACAGTTGATTTCCAGAAATAGGGAAGTAACATTTCACAAAGCTATTACCTTTTTTGGAGTTCTACCTTGCTTTTAGTCGATGTGTCTGCTTGTCTGTGGAGTTGCGCCTTGTTTGAGGATACGTGTCACTTTGCCCCTAGAGAGTTATGCCTTGGTTAAGGTCTGCGTGTCCTTTTTTCCTTCCTTGTGGTTTCTGCTGCTTATTTCCTTGTTGCCCGTCTTGTAACTTCCCATCTAATTCTGAGTATATGTGTTGTTATATTTCCTTCACCTCTGACACGTTGCGTTGCACGTACATTCTTCTAAATTTTTATTCCTTCCTTGGATGGGGTTGCTTCATAATCCATCGAAGTAAGGCAAGAAAAACCAATGGCTCAAGTATAGAATAGAATTGGCTCAATGGCAGGAACTGTGAGACGGATCTAGGAGTCCGAATGAACCACCACTTAAGGATGAAACCAGCATTATGCTGCAGATGCCAAAAAAGCCAATCCGGTCCTAGGTTCTATCAACAGATGGATAGTATCAAGCAGGGGTGAAATCCAGCAGGTTCTGACAGGTTTTGGAGAAGAGCCTTGGTGGTGCAGCGGACTAAAGTGCTGTTAAGTAGCACTTAGCTGCCTGCAATTACTGCGAGTTCAAATCTCACCAGGCTCAAGGTTGATTCAGCCTTCCATCCTTCCGAGGTAGGTAAAATGAGGACCTGGATTGTGGGGGCAATAAACTGACTTTGTATAAAAAAGAACACCACTTGGGGCCCCCCCAAAAAGCCCTACTAAGCAGGTATATACAAAAGTACGAAGGCTATTGCTTAAAAGCATTGTAAGCCGCCCTGAGTCTCCGGAGAAAGGGTGGCATATAAAGCTTTGCTGGCTGGGGAATTCTGGGAGTTGAAGTCCGCCAGACTTAAAGTGGCCAAGGTTGCAGACCCTTGATATAGGGCAGTGGTTCTCAACCTGTGGGTCGGGACCCCTTTGGGGGTCGAATGACCCTTTCACAGGGGTCGCCTAAGACCATTGGAAAACACATATTTTCAATGGTTTTAGGAATAATTTTATTGTTGGGGGTCCCCACAACATGTATTAAAGAGTCGCAGCATTAGGAAGGTTGAGAACCACTGACATAGGGTCTCCTGTTTGAGCAGGGGGCTGGACTAGAGGACCTCCAAGGGCCCCCCCAACTCTGTATTTCCTCTGCCTCCTGTCTAGTCAGGTGAACAGAGTGGGAAGGGACCTTTGGAGGTCATCTAGACCCTACCACACCATTTCCGACAGACGGCAGTCCAGTCTCTTCTTCAACTCCAGGGCAGATGGGGGCCTGGGGAGGGGGGGTCCTCCCGGGGGGGGGGGGTCCCTCAAGGGGGCCGGGGGGGGTGGTGCCCGCGGGCGCCAGATTGGGGCGCCGGGCGGAGGGCCAAACCACGTGACGGGCTGGCGCATGCGCGCTGGCGGCGGGGGGGCCATGGCTGCCGGGCGGTTGGTGGCGCTTGCGGGGGCGCTGCTGCTGTTGTGGGGGGGCTCCGCGCGGGGCCTCTACTTCCACATCGGGGAGACGGAGAAGCGCTGCTTCATCGAGGAGATCCCGGACGAGACCATGGTCATCGGTGAGGGGGGGAGGGCGGGGGCGGGGGCGGGGCTGGTGGGGGGAGGGAGGGAGGGGTCGCGCGCGCCCCCCACTCCGGCTTGACCGGCCCCCCCCTTCGTCTCCTAGGCAACTACCGGACGCAGCTGTGGGACAAGCAGGCCGAGGCCTTCCTGCCTTCCACGCCCGGGCTGGGCATGTTCGTGGAGGTGCGGGACCCGGACGCCAAGGTGAGGCGGGGTCGGCTGGGCGGGGGAGGGGGAAGGAGGGGGGGGGACGATGACCCCCCCCTTTGATGAGATGACCCCCCCCCCCCCTCTCCTCCCCCCCTCCCGCAGGTGATCCTCTCGCGGCAGTACGGCTCGGAGGGCCGCTTCACCTTCACCTCGCACACGCCCGGAGAGCACCAGATCTGCCTGCACTCCAACTCCACCCGCCTGGCGCTCTTCGCGGGGGGGAAGCTGGTAAGCAAGTGGGGGGCGGGGCAGAGGGAGGGGAGGGGGCAGCCACCCCCCCCCGAGGGTCTGCCCCTCCCCCTCGCCCCTCCCAAACGAGTTGTGTCTTTTGGTCCAGAGGGGGAGGGGGACAAAGGGAGGGAGGGGAGAAGGGCAGAGGGGGAGAGCACCCCCGCTCGAGGATCTTCCCCCCCGCCCCTCCCAAACAAGCTGTGTCTTTTGGTCCAAAGGGGGAGGGGGACAGAGGGAGGGGAGAAGGGCAGGAAGGGGGAATGGGGGGAGGGAGGGAGGGGAGAAGGGCAGACGGGGAGAGCACTCCCCAAGGGTCTGCCCCCCGCCCCTCCTAAACATGCTGTGTCTTTGGTCCAGCGGGTGCACCTGGACATCCAGGTAGGGGAGCACGCCAATAACTACCCGGAGATTGCTGCCAAGGACAAGCTGACGGAGCTGCAGCTGCGAGCCAGGCAGCTGCTGGACCAGGTGGAGCAGATCCAGAAGGAGCAGAACTACCAAAGGGTGAGACTGCCGGGGGACCCCCGGGGACCCTCTTTATGCTGGCTCCCTAGCAGGGAGGGAGCCGACGGGGGTGGGGGGAGGTGGGCTTTCCTGCTGCCAAGGTGCTTGCAGGAATTGAACAAGTGTTTGAAATGCATTTGAATATAAGTAGCTGGGGTTGGTAGTTGGCTGTTGGTCTGAGCTCCTAGCTTGGCCGTTTGGTTGGAAACGGTGTCCGAATGGTGGCGAAACTTTTGCCACCAAATGGCCAAGCTCAGAGCTCAAACCAACAGCCCCTGGACAGGTGTTTTTCTTGCCAGTCACTGCAGCCCCTCCAAAGTAAAGAGTGGTCTGACATCCTGTGGATGGCTTTGGAAAAACAAATGTTTTGACACCGGAACAACTAAGGAAGTTGAGCTTGGGTCACTTTTGCGCTTTTGTTGGTCTTGAGCCAGAAGGACGAGGTTGCTGTGTAGCATTTTAAGCTATTATAAACAGAGGTGCATGAAAAGGCCCACCGTATTTTACTGTGGGGTAAACTTGCTGGCTTTCTCTCTGCGTGGGATGAGATTGGCAAAGTGGTGGAAGATGCTTGGAATGCGAAACCTGCATCTCAACTAGACCTGGGTCAGGTGGAGGGCAACAGTTGAATGAAGCGTGACAGGAGGAGTTGGGCCAGGCGTGTTCTTGATGCTGCTTTGTTCCCTCTGCAGTTCCGAGAAGAGAGGTTCCGCATGACCAGTGAGAGCACCAACCAGCGGGTGCTCTGGTGGTCCATCGCGCAGACGGTCATCCTCCTCCTTACAGGCATTTGGCAAATGAGGCACCTCAAGAGTTTCTTTGAAGCCAAAAAACTGGTTTGATGTCTTCAGCATCACATAGGTCATCGTTCACCAATGCTCCACTGTTGCTTTCCATTGAGTAAATCTTGATTTTTTTAAAAGTACTAAACTGAGAAAGAAGCACAGCAGACAATGCCCCTGCCCCAATTAAATACATCCACAAAAACATCTCAAACGTTACCATATTTTTGTGCTTTGAAGCGTGTGAAGCTAGCGGTAAGGATAGCTTGCCTCGGTTGTCAAGCTTTCCCGGAACATTCTAAGAAGCTGCTTTATAAAACACAGAGAGGATTCCCTCCATTACTTTTGTAATAGCTGCAGTTTGCCTAAAAGCTTCAGTCTTCTAAAGTCCCCTGTAACTCTAAAACTATTCAACAGAATACAATTAGAGGGAAAAACAGATTTACATGTAGCACACCTTCCTTGTTCAAATACCATTGATCTAAATATTGTTTAGCATTTCAGGGGTGGTCAGGCGGCCAAGAGATGGAAGGATTTCTTGCAGCATTTTCTCTTCAATCCTTTTTTTGTAGTTCTCAGTTCTCTAAGCACAGAATTGGTCTTGGCTGGAGAGTCAATGCAAATGAGGGAGGAGTAGAAGGTTTGTTGTAAAGGTCAAATGAAGAAGCCCCTTAAATTTGTAAATAGTTTGACTTAGAGCTACTCTCAGTTGGAGATACTCCTTGAAGAGCATAGTGGTGTTATCTCTTCTTAACCAGACTTTCTGTAATTTGGAAATAGAACCTGTAAATACTCCAGCTATGGGACAACACAGTGCTGCAATTTGGCAGCAGAATTGGGCCTCTGAAGTAGTGGGACTGAAAATGGGCATTTTTTTCCTTCTCCGCTGGCCTGGGCAAGTGTGTCACGAGGCCCGTTTGTTAAACCTTTGGATTGAAATAAAGCTTTTTTGAAAGAGGCTTTCCTTATATGTTGGTGGGAAAAGTAGGTAAAAGCAAGTATGAACTGTAAAAGTCCACAAATTCTTAACAGCAAAGAGGCCCAAAAATCCATTTAATCACTTCCACAAGAAATTTTAGGATCATATTCCAATGTTTTATCAGTCTACAGGTAGTCCTTGACTTACGACCATTCATTTAGTGGCCCAAATTGCACCGGCACTGAAAAAAAGGGACCTAGCCTTTTTCATAAGGAGTGTTGCAGCATCTCCCCCCACCCCGTGGTCAGAGGATCAGAATTGGGATGCTTGGCAACTGACTGGTATTTATGATGGTTGCAGTTTCCCAGGGTCACGTGATCCCCTGTTGCGACCTGACATGCACATCGATGAGGAAGCAAGATTGACTTAGCAACTATGTTACTCGACTCCAGCGATTCACTTGACTGACAAGAAGTCATCAAAAGTGGCAAAACTGACTTAACAGCTGTCTTCCTTAGCAACATATTTTGGTGTGTGAATTGTAAATCGACCCGTGTATAAAAAAACCGTAGCCCCCTTCTCCCATCACAGGTAAAGGGAGCCGTGTGTGTTGTGACCCTGGTACAGCCAGATCCTTGGCGTTGAGTTGTGCTCTGAAATAAGCCCTTGGCAAGAGCCCTGCGACTTCTTCACAGCCCCCTCTAAGCGGTTTTCAGAGTCCGCCTGTGGCCCCCAACATCTGGGCCCTGGTGCCTTGGTGCTCTGAGCTCGACCTTGCGATACCTAATGAAACGGGTGGCAAGAAAACGACCAAGCTTGGAAAGTACCCAGGAAGCTTCATTGTAACCCTGAGCTACAAACAGGCTCCTTTATTGGCCTCTGAAATCCGTCGCAAGGGATCGGCCGCGGGTGTTGGGTGTGGGCCGAAGGCTTTGGAAGCCCCACTTGGTCCAAGGGAATGGCCCCGGGCGGTTCCCAGGAGCGCCTGCAGCCTAAGTCTGGATCCCCTGGGGCTCCTCTGGGCAGCCTGCAAGGGGCTCCGGGTTTTGCAAGGCGACCAAAGAAAAGGCGGCATCCCCTGCATGGGAACAGGGAGCAGCCTCGGCCGAAGGAGCAGGAAGGCTCCGCGCTCCCCCAAACCAGCGGGGAGAAAGCTGCCTACTTCGCAGCGGGGCCCGAGGGCAGCCTGTCGTGTCGTTCGCTCGCCAGCCAACAGAGGGAGCCGTGGCGGTGCTGGGACGCTCTGCTCGGGCGGCTCTATGACCGCGCCCTACGACCCCACCGGCCGCTTCCGGCAGCGGAGAAAGCATGGCGGCGGAGGGGAACTTCGGCCAGATGGGCCTGGACGCGCGGCTCCTGCAGGTAGAGGCCGGGCGGGCGGGCGGTCGGGCGGGGCGGGGTCCCCGGCGGCGCGGGCGGTGCTGAGCGGGCGCGCCGTGTTTGTTCCCGGCAGGCGGTGGCCGAGCTGGGCTGGGCGGCGCCGACCCCGATCCAGGAGAAAGCGGTGCCGCTGGCGCTGGAGGGGAAGGACCTGCTGGCCAGGGCCCGCACGGGCTCCGGGAAGACGGGCGCCTACGCCCTGCCCCTACTGCAGCGCCTGCTGGACGCCAAGGCGGTGAGTGGCCGCGAGGGCCTTTGGGAGCCTCCCTGGGGGTGGGGGTGGGGGTGGGGGGCCCCCCCTCTGCCGGCCTCGCCTGACGCCCCTCCCCCCTCTTCTCTGCCCCTTCTCCCTCCTCTCCCCCTCTCCTCTCCTCTCCCCTCTCCCCCCTCCCTTTCCCCCTCTCTTCTTCTCCCTTTCCCCTCCCCCTCCCTTCTCTTCTCCCCCTCCCTTTCCCCCCTCCCTTTCTTCCTCTCTTCTTCTCCCCCCTCCCTTTCCCCCTCCCTTCTCCCCTCTCTTCTTCTCCCCCCTCCCTTTCCCCCTCCCTTCTCCCCTCTCTTCTTCTCCCCCCTCCCTTTCCCCCTCCCTTCTCCCCTCTCTTGCAGGCAGCACTGGTGGCGGAGCAGGCAGTGCGGGGCCTGGTGCTGGTGCCCACCAAGGAGCTGGCCCGGCAGGCGCTGCAAATGCTTCGGCGCCTGGCCGCCTACTGCGCTCGGGACGTGCGCGCCGTCAACCTGGCCGGTCCAGAGGACATGACCGCCCAGAGGTGAGCAGAGCCTGCATGGGAGGAGGCTGGAAGCCGCTTGGTGGGTGTCACTTTGGGGTGTAGGGAGGCCCCGCCTCCCCTCCAAAGAATGAAATATTTGGGGGAATGTTAAAAGAGGCAGAATATTATATTCCCCCATAATATATATTTATATTATATATTGCTGAGCACATTGTAAGCCGCCCTGAGTCTCCGGAGAAGGGTGGCATATAAATCAAATTAAAAAAAAAATAAAATACAAATATACAAATATAAATATATAAGGCAGGGCCTTACTTTCAGAGAAACACGGTATAATTACATGGACTGTGAATATATTTACTTCTGTTCTCATCATATGCTAAATAAATAGTTTCGTTTGCATTTTAATATAATCACAATTCTTAATAAAAATTATATATATAAAAAGACGAAAGATTTCCCACCTGGATGATGCCACTGAGTTGGCCTCGGCTTATCTGACACTGATCGTCCCCAGCATTCATTCAGAGAGAGGTACCTGGGATTCCTCCAGCGTTTGGTCTTTACGCCTCCAGTTTTTTTGCCTTGCAGACCCCTCTTGATGGAGAGACCAGATGTGGTGATAGGAACACCCTCGCGGGTTTTGGCACATGTACAGATGCAAAACTTGAGGCTGCAGAATTCGTTAGAAATTTTGGTGATAGACGAGGCTGACTTGCTTTTTTCATTTGGCTTTGAGGAAGACTTGAAGAATCTTCTCTGGTGAGTTCTGACTCTGAAATGCTGGGATTCTACAGCTCATATAATTTCTATTCAGAAATTTAATTACAATGGTAAAAACTAAGATGCAAGCAGAGAGAAAGGGAATAGGAAAAAAAATAATGAAAAATATAAGAGAAAATGAAGGAAGAGAAAGAAAATAGAAGGGTTTTCACCCCATTACATTGGCCCATCCCAACTGGTCAGGTAATTGACATTGTCAATTAATGAGGTCCAGGACAAAAGACCTGTCTGTTGTTTGCCATCCATCCGTCCGTCCCCCAGTGGAACAGTCTGCCCTCCATCCATTTTTTAAAAATTAAGGATTCCTTATTTTAGCTTGCCTTAGCAGCTTCTTCATTGTTTAACAAGAAGAAATTCCCAAAATGGTACAGATCTTCAAAAAAGGAATAACAGACTGTGGCTAAAGAAGAGCCTCTTTTAGCTTAATAAAGATTAATAAAGATTAAAAAGATTAAGGTAGTCTTCAATTTACGTCCACAACTGACCCCAAAATTTCTGTTGCTAAGTGACAAATTATTCTTTTTTTTATAAAGTTTTTTATTTTTCATAAACACATTTACATGTACAGTCATTTCTATCATTTTTCATTCATCTTTTCTTTTAACTTTCATTTTTCATTTTTACTTTTTCGGGGCTGCTCTTTTACCCTTCTGTTTCTCCTCCTCCTTCTTCCTTTGTTCTTCCTCTCCTTCTCTTTCCTACTTCCCCTTCTCTTCTCCCACTCCTCTCTTCTTCCCCCCCTTCTATAACCTTCTCTATTCCTCTTTCCCCTCCCTCTTCTTCCTCTCCTTTTCCCTTCTTTCTCCTCTCCTCTCCTCTCTTTTCCCTTCCTCTCTCTCTACTCCTTCCCCTCTCTCCTGTTGTTTCCCTTTTTAGTTCAATCTAAAGTGGTATTCGAGCAGCCCCGATTTCCTAATTATCTTTTTTCTCATTTCAATTTCTTATTCAATTATTATTTTTATTTCATCATTTGCGTACATTTTTATAATATCTCACTTTTTTCCTCTCCCGCTTTCTCCTTTTACTTGGCATCATCTGGGTATCTATTTTTCTAATTGTTTTTTCCCATCTATTCGCTATCTATTTTATCTCTATGTCCTTATTCATATTTCTTTTCTAACCAATCATAAAATTTATCCCATGTCTTGAAATACATCGACTCCTCTTTATCTTTTATTCTCAATGTTAATCTATTCATTTCTGCACATTCTAAAATTTTCTTTATATCTCCTTCCAAAGGAATTTTATCTGCTTTCCAGTTTTGCGCAAATACAATTCTAGCCACTGTTATTATATGAATAATCAAATATATATCTTCTTTGCTATAATTTTCTGGTAAAATTCCCAATAAGAATATCTCTGGTTTTAACTCTATATGTTGCTGCAACATTCCCTCTAAC